ACGTCGAGCGGTTAAGATTTGTGCCCAACTGTTGACAGACGGACGGACGGACGGACAATCATGCGATTCTACAAGCGGCATCTGAGCTAAAAAAGGGGTAGTCGAGATTGCTGTGCTAAAACATGCGACATCAGTGCACATGCATTGGTAATGCTCTTCTAATACAACATATCCTATGTCTATAAGCGAACCCCCCCCCCACACACACACACAAGACATTACAACAGATTTGATTGCTCCAAAGAGGTACCCAAGCCCTACCTCAATTACGATAGGCTCAAGCAGTTTCTTCCTGTAGAAGATTGCAGATCCATTGTACCACTCTGGATTGGTAGAATCTTGCACTGTAGGTGTTGTCACTTTCTTCCCTTCGCAGTTGATAATGCAGTAGGGATCAGCCCCTGCAAAATCAATATGAAATTGCCAGTTTACCTTCGAAATGTACCCAGTATCAACAAACTTTAAAATCTTGCCAATTGATCCATATAAATATGAGTACGCGTAATCATAACATAACGAAGTGAAGCAGGGACCATTTAATGATGACCGTACATGAGGTTTTGACTATGAGAAAACATGCCTTCAGCGTTACAAGTTAATCAATCAAAGTTCATGATAGCTAATTTGAATTACATTGCTTACATGTTTCAACAATACTAAAAAGATTTATGCTCAAGACTAAAGAGAAGATAAAATATATCACCGTAAATAAAGTTATCTACATAAAAAGTACAGAATTTTAATTCTGAAAAGAAAGTATTCAAGCATTTCAACCAGTTCCAAGAAAGCATGAAGGAATAGAAGCAGAAAGCATTTCGATGCTATGATCATATTCATGTTGTTCTCCCACCTCCTTCGCTGTCTTGCTTTTCTAGGCCAGTGGCAGACATGCACGTTACGAGAGTAAGGCAACTCGGGGCATTGATGCACGTCCAGCAGCTAGGCTGCGGATGGTCCAGAGTCAACTCTCTAGAAATACAGAATTAATGCAGACATGCAGCATGCTGGCTTAGCAAAATCCGCGTTTCACATTACGGCAGCAGATGGTAACTTTCCTTGATACACCACCACACACGTAGACACATAGACACACACACACACACACACAAGACAGTAAAAAGTATATTATTGCAAACGATATCACACTTGGAATTATGTGTAGCAGCGGGATTACGCATGCGAACGCAGGAAATTGTGACAGCAGCTGTCGCTACATTATACTGTTAAATTTTAGAGATGTGTAATATAATTATTCAACAATATAGCAAGTGATGTGCAGCAAACACATAAACAGAGGCTTGGAGTGCATCATAAGTGCCCCTGCATCCATGTATGAGGAGAATCAAAGGGATCAGATCCTGTTTGTGGAGCAGAAATAGGAACCAAATCCTGTTTGTCTGGCGGGAAAGGGAACCATAACCTATTTAAGGAACAGGAGTAAGGGAAAATGATCACGGGGATGGAAAATGGGGAAGAATGCGCTTTTCTACATGGTATTGGTAATCATTTATTGAAGGAACTAGCTAGTCATGATATTGCAACCTATGGACACACGGAGACATTTCCTCATATGTCTCATAAGCCAAGCAATTCCAAGCTGTTATACATATACCAAGTAGCACTGCAAATACCACAGCAAATACCACAGCAAATATCACGGCAAGTATCACGGCAAGGATTACTGCAAGCGAAAGAAAACGTATATGAAAACCACTAAATGCAACGAGGTGACACTGGTGCGGAGTAGCGCAGTTGTTTTCACAAATGGATGTACCTCCAGAATTAGTCCAGTTGAGCTTTTCGAGTCCGCGTGCCCTGACCACTGTGACAATACTCATACCCTGGGCACTTTTAGATAGGCAAGCGAAGCAGCCAGGCTGCGGGTGTGGATATACAAGCTCTCTGAAGCAAATGGCAACCAATCACACAATACGACTGGCGGCTCCATAAGCAATCAGGTCGCTTTTCCCACTTAACTATCAGCTACTTTTAAGATGAACAGAAGTAATGTGTAAACATTGACACAGATAATACACATTTCATTCACTCACAGTACTTTTAGAATGTGACATAAACTGTTTTAATTTAGCAAACAATATTCTACCACAAGAACGAAACCCATACACAGAACAGTTTTTACTAGTGACAACTATTATACAAGATAAAAATACCAGTTGTAATAGAAGAAGAGTAGACAGAGTAAAGTAGCTTTAAAGTTACCAGACTTGGCTGTAACCAAATAGGTATGACTTAAAGAAACAGCACAAATCTACATAAATGTCACTAGTAATGCAAATAATGGTGAACCCACAAAAATCTGCTACTCAATCACCCCAAGCAAAACACAGACATAACAAAATATCACAGTAACAACTCTCATGAATTTAAGTGCGGCGTGTCGCAGCTCACACTCACAATCTTGCACACTCCACTACCTACTGAATAAACTCGTACCTTTTTACACAGGAACAGCATGATGAACCAAGTTTTGCAGCGCTGCCTGCTGTAACAGCACATACTCTGATTGGTTGACATCAAATCAGGTCTCGGATCAATGCGCTCCACAGTATTCTACATCGTGTGACCACCACCTTGACGTTTTGTCACGGAATTACGCTATTGCAGTTGGACGCACACTTACTTGCAGTTGGAGGTGCTGCTCGTGAACACACGCAGCATGAAGTCCCCGGTCTGGTTCGACTCGAACGTCGATGGCACGAGAACGTACGTTCCCTTCTTCAGGGTAATGCGCAGGAACACACAGCGCGAGCGCGCGTACACCGAGTCTCCGGCCTTCTCGTGGATCGTGTGCAGCCTGTACTTGCGGTTCAGCTCAACCTAGATTGCAACACAACACTTAGCGTCACACCACCGCGAACACTGTATAATATAATACGCCGTATAGAACCGTGCCCCCCTCTATAAACTCACATGCCACACCATGACATGCCTTGCCCCCCGCCCCAGCCTGACATGCTTCGGCTGCTAAATACAAAGCTATAGTCTCAACGGTAAATCAGTCAAAGTGTCGCCTAAGCATCTGAGGAGGTCGCGGTGTTCAACCAGACGAACCTTCATGATGAAAAATCCGATCGGCAGATTCTGGCCACCGACCGCCCGTGTGTCGCGCACATCCTTCTGGGTGAGAGAGAGCAGGATCTCATCCTCATCGTCGCCTATCTCAAACTTGAACTGAAGCGACACACATGTATGCTTGAGAAACAAAGATAGTTCAATCTCAAAATATTCACATGTGCAAGCCCGCAATGCTATCCAATCGATATTAATAAATGCACTTTTAACCAAGCAAATACTTACACTACACTGTACTTGTATACTACAGAGACTAAAGTCTGGATGTGTTCCATATGTCAGCTATCAAGTGTGTTAGTACCTTTGCATGGTTGGTTTGATAAACAGATTATACACCCAACTTCCGTAGTTTAGTCTGTGCAGTAGACTCGCACCTGAGGATTCTGCAAGAACGTGCTCCTGTTGTTGATGCATCCGCCCATCAAGTTACCGGTCCAGCTTCCAAACCGCATTGCCTCGAACCACTTCTTGTGCAGGCTTAGGTATTGTGTATTGATCAGACGACAGATGGACACGTCAGTAAAGTTTTTGCAGAAATCCTCCATTGTCATCCTAAAAAAAAAATGCCCACAGAACACCGATTAAAAAACTGACCGATGTTAAACGTCACTATGTCCATCCCTGAGTGGAGTGCCTAAAAATCGTGAGTGCCTAAAAAACCTACGTGCTAAAATAAATTCTAACTTGCAATTTTGTTTGTACAACATAAACTACTTTTTGAATATCACATACACTTTTGGCATACTATTACTACTAATCGTTGGAATGAGCTTATGTTGTGATTTATGTATGTGAATCTGATTGTTTCATGCCATGTGTGTGATTGTGTTCTTGCCTTCGTATATATTTTGCATATGTCGCTATAAATTTCCACTCGCAGAAAATAGCAAGTGCTTATATTTTCTACTCGCAATTTCTCAATATCGACACGCATTATGCGAGTTAGCAATAGGGAAATTCGAGCCCTGTATATACCATTTTAATTTACCATCCTGCATTCAAAAGTTGTTAGGGCAAAACTATAGGAAGTACAGCATTCCGAATTACATTCATTTACAATTTCAGCATTCATTACCCTATTACATCACAGGATAGTTTGGGGAGTTCATATAGTCAGCACAGCAGGGTTTGAAATTAACGGTAGTCCGTTAGTCCAAAACTGTCAGATTTACTCACGGATGAGTGGGTTGCAGTAACGATTAGTCCGGTGGACTCTCGGCATTAACTTAACTTAGCACTGTCAGTTTTTGACTAACACAGATAAAAACTAATAAATTAAATTATTTCTTTTTCCTGTACATTATTATAACTTCATTTTAAATAAATTAACCCATCAACTATCAAATGTATTTAACACTAGTTTTCGTAGGTATTATTTATCATATTATTTAGCTGTATACATACATTCAAAATACTTCAAAAACCATGGAAACTCATTATTCCAAACGAACTCACCAAAATTCCCCATCGTCCTCTTTTGCCATTCCCAACTTCTGCCTTTGCGCCTCAGACATGTTGTTCCATTCTGGGTCACTAAATCAACAGCAATAAACATTTAGCAACTGTTACTTCCTAACATAACCTACATAAAAAAGGTGACATACCCCACACACAATTATTTTAATTCCACAACTACCTTTTAACACATCTAGCACGAGTAATGGCTTGCAAGATTGACATACAATACATGATCCCATTTGTACAATTCAGATGGGTGAAACGTACCAGAAATTACTTATTGAAGTTAATTAAAATATCATAAAATTAAATAAAATCTCTAGTTCATAGCTCAATCTATAAAACTGGAACATTCACATGTATTAAATTAGAGTAATTAACCTACTTGTCACTGAAGGCACCATTCCATTCCTTCTCTCCCCAGGGGTTCCTCATGCGCACCATGTAGAGCTTCTCCTTCCCCGTGAAACGGTAAAGGAAGCCAGAATCGCCGAGGTAAATCTTCTTGACGGCAGTGATGCCGTAAGCGTGGCCGCGAACAAGCCCGGAGTTAGTACGAGATTCAATCTCTTGACCCCCGGATACCTACAAACAAGCATGCGAAACATAGCGTATACTACAAACATGAGATCCCAAGCCATGTATAGAAAAACATGGAATACTAGTATTACTACGACTACTAGTTTCACAGGTTATTTTATCATAAAGGTTCCTGCATGTAACAAACTATTAAGTGTAACAGTTATTTAACGGGTGGACCCGGTGCTCACTCACACTGTACACTTTGGTGTATGATGTGTAATTCGAGGTAGTTACTACATTGTATGCAGTAATCTTGCTTCCATTCATTCATGGGTGAGACTGTTGCTCAATATTCTGATAAGATAGTCACTATTTTTTTGTAAGACTATCGGCAGAAATGAAGAAATTGTACACGCCTCACACCTAGTGTTACGTGGATCATCCGGAATATCTAAACCATTCAAAGAATGTATTTTCCCCGAATTTGTGTGGTCGCGAGCCCGCCAGTGCTGCCCTCACGTGGTGACTCATCCCCCCTTAGGTTGAGCGGCTGCTATGAGGCTCTCGATGGTGGCAACCTGTCCGAGGCTCTAGAGGATTTCACCGGTGGTGTGGCCGAGACGATCAGCCTGCAGGAGGATGGCTTCGCAGGCGATGACCAGAAGCAGTACCGGCTATTCAAGACCATGGAGAAAGAGGCTGAGCGTCTGTCTCTCATGGCGTGCGCGATCGCTGTAAGCGACGTTTTATGTTGTCATGCCCGCGACGTCTGTTAGAGACATTCTTCCGTCAGTGGAAATTCAGCATTGATATTTGTGATATTTAGATGACAGATGTGATGCATGTGCTGTGCAGTGAGGCCCGAGAGATTTTCACTATGTGCGTGAAACCTATTTCGGCAATGCAAGCAACCCATCCATCCTATCATGGCTCTGTGAATGTGAATGGGCCAACAGAGGGGGCCTAACACCAGCAGCGAGGGATCTGGGGGATAGCTGCCACTTCTTCAAGTGGGGTTCAACTCTTCACCGGGCCCATGTCAGCAGTGAATATTTGTGCTTCAGATAGCAATTTGTCCTCTAATAAGTGTTAAATTTGTGAAAGAATAAGCAAGCAGAGGTTTGAATGCTCCATACAGCCTCATATTCTTTTTCAATTTGTTATCCTGGTGTTGATTCGACGATGGCGAGGCCCTTGCCCTGATGCCCCCCCCCCTCCACACACACACACACACACTACTGCATCTTCCAGTGATCTGTAAATAGATTTGCAAGATGTAACTGTATATAACGGCCCACCGCATGCAGAGGGAACATACTTTGCATAGGCTTTCTCGAGGAGAGCGCTCCAGAACTCGTTCCGTGACTGCGAGTGAATGAAGACCAGCTGTCCATTGATAGTCGGGAGGCGGTCGTCAATGACGACGTCGATCCAGTCGCCGAAGCGCCAGAAACGAAAGTGGAAGATGCCGGCGTAGTTCTCGGGCTTGTTCTCGTCCCAGTCCTGGTCATTGTGGTCGGGAATCACCTGGGAAGGGACGCCGCAAAATCACAACACAGTACGACGAGTATTTCGAGAGAGACTATAAAACACACACACACTGCCATCACTTAGTGTAGCATCTGGCAAAAGACGTGGTATATATACAACACATATATGTGGATCATATTACATCACAGACAAGGAGAGTATTAGTGTATATTTTTTAACGTTTGGATCTGTTACAAGCTGAAGCCAGTATGATATATTAATAGGCTGGAATGTTGATCACATTATATCAGGAGTCTATCAATATTGATAGACTCCTGATTATATCTGTAAGAATTTTGTAAAGCATGGCCAGGCGAGTCTTGAATCGTCATAATTTGAAAACTTTTGGTGAACTCTGAATGTACCAGGAGAAACCAAATTGGAAAAAAGGACCATACTGTAATCCAAATGTGTCTGTTTACTGCAGCTCAGAATACACCAGATTGCATCTCAGAGCATCTAGGTTTTAATTTTTTTGGGGGGTACAACCCCCCCCCCCCGCACCCCACCACAGCCTGTTGCAAAAGCATTTCGGCCTGTTACTATAAAAGATAATGAAAACCCTGCACCTTTGAGTCATCTCTAGGTTGTGCATGGCTTTGGCCATGTGGGCCTCAATATGAAGGAGCACCACTCCATATTCGGCCTGACTAAATTGAAAAGGCCAATACATCAGTTTTATATTTGAGATCCTATAGGTACTTTCACAGAAAGCCAGGATGCTGTTAGTGTTTTTAAGTATTAGTACCTCTTTCCACAGAGCTTTCTCCTGGGCAAGGCTGGATGAAGCAGCGACAAACCAGCAGTTGCCTAAGCTTCCCTGGGTTACGTCCCCAGCACTGGCACCTTCTACAAACATGTGTGGATTATCACACAGGTCCTGCACATAGAATAAAATAGAAGTATATCATTACTATATGTTAGCATATGATATATCTCATGTAAACAAAGTTTTAAAGGCACCACCATAAAATTTTCAGGTAACATATATAATACATACATATTCAGGAACAATATAAAGATATGTACTTTCACATCTTACCTGATATCACTATATACATACAGGTATAAACTAAGTAAATAAAGTAGTTGTGTACAGACATCAATAGAATAGCGGCTTTCTCTAACCTCTCTAAGCCCATAGAATTTCAGCCCATAGAATTTCTACAAATTCTGTAATTCCTAATTCCTTAAAGGGACAGTAGCCTCTAGGATTTTACTGCATACAACTGTACTTACTGTATAACAAATCGTCTATACCCACAGTCCACATGTATTTGTTACCAAATACCTAATTTAATTGTTATAATTATTTACACATCAACGCTACGAAATTTGAACGGCGCTATGACACCCGGGACCGTGCTGCCACCCCGAAAAAGTTGCGTATTTGACAATTTATTTTGCAGATTACAGACCGAGGGCTAATCACAAAAGTGCAATTATATTTATACTTAAGTGCTATTTAACCGAACGATATTCATTTTAGGGCAAATTTATCCATATTATAACTGAAACTATATGTTGTTTATAAGATATTACAATCCTTTTGCTTTTAAATAAATAAATAAGAAACACCCTCGGTCTGTAGCCCTTGACTGGAAAGTGGTTTATCAGATCGTGCGCTTTGAGTGGCGCCACCGTCGTTGTAATCAAATTGTAGTCATTAGTTTTAAAACATTTTTTAATAATATTTCTAATGGTGATTGAACCATGAAACTTTTTATGTAGCGTAATTATAACCTAGATTAGCTGAAAATAACCCTAGAACCTAGAGTAAACTATCCCTTTAATCTAATCACAGTTCAGTTGCAGTGAAGTCTATAAGGCCATTTATATGTCCATTCAACCAATAAATATAGGAATGCCTATGACAAATAATATATATATATATATATATATACATGTGTGCGCACGTGTGTGTGTGTGTGTGGGTGCGTGTGTGTGTGTGTGTGTGTGTGTGTGTGTGTGTGTGTGTGCGTGCGCATGTGTATGTGTGTGTGTGTGTGTGCGTGCGAGTGTGTATGTGTGTGTGTGTGCGTGCGCGTGTGTATGTGTGCATGTGCATGGGTATGTGTGTGTGTGTGTGTGTGTGCGTGCACGTGTGTGTGTGTGTGTGTGTGTGTGTGTGTGTGCGTGCGCGTGTGTATGTGTGTGCGTGCACGTGTGTATGTGTGTGTGCAACATAGATTTACTGATTTACTAGTTACACACCTTTGGCCTTTTCCACTGCACTGCTCCATATCTTTGTGAATAGGCAAGAGATGAGTCATCTGCTGGAAAAATAGGATCCTCAAAGAGTTTTCCACTGTCAATGGCTTGTTTCTTAAGCTCATCATACTTCTGGTCCTTGAAAGGCTTTGCACTGTTCCACAGTCCAAGAACCATGTTGACCCGATCACAAATTAAAGAGTTATTCTGAAAAGATAATACCATATACCGTGATAAAGATGAAGATATGGTTGCGCCAGATAATAAATACATACCGGGTACTAGATACAATAATGTACCCCAACAAGAGTAGGGTACCTGTAAACGTGCAAATGTAGGCATGCACAACCCTACTCTTGTTGGGTTACATTATTGTATCTATAACCGGGTACTGCCCTAGCTGCGAGTCACACAGGCAGTCACAAGCCACACACAAACGATTCAGAAACAATTCCAAAATTTATAGTTCAGATGTATTATTGGTAAAATGTTTTTTCTGGCACTCTCATATTGCAAAAGATGCATGCTTTTGCATTGGCACATATACCACTATACCAGTACATACTGTACACACTGTATCATGTACCGGTATATTCATGTGGTGAAAGCATTGCTGTTTCGAGTATTATACTACTAGTAGTCTACTAGTACTAGTATCGCGTAAATATGATAACCCTCGAAGCCGAACAATCCACTGCAGACTCACACCATTATCAGATAAAATAACTATTAATACTACGTTGTATAATTACCAATACCACTTACCGAAACTGAGTCTGACAGAAAGGGAACAACTATGACATCACCAGCTAGCAGCTCTCGTAGGCAGCACGCGCGCCACACCTCTAACTCATGCTCTTTAATCCGTAACGGGCTCACTGATTGGTGGACGTGGAACCGGAAGAAACATTGCCACCGCCCACGCGGCACGCACCATCGCCGCAGATCACTGGCAGTTCCTACAAATCAGTAAAAATAAAAATAATGTATAATAAATCTTATTGCACCACTAATAACTCTCCTACTATATGCGGTAAACAACTCCTCACTGCAAAAGAAATGCCTGACACCGCAACGTGGGCGCGAATGCGGACTCCGCACTACGCTGCGTACTCCCTATACATAATCCCCGGGATTATGTAGGCTATGTGGATTATGTATTACTAGCTGCGGGTACCCGCTGCGCTGGGTAAAATCGTGCTACTAATTCATACTACTATACTAATAATGGGACACAGTAGGAACATTGGGTAAACATCGACAATGACATTGCACCCAATATCAATATTTAGAAATCGGTCTAATAAGATAATAAGCATGGGGAAAAACTGTTACGTATGACATTTATATGACAGCACAACCCAACTTAGAACACCTGAGACATAATATTAATAGTAATATGGCTCATAGGGTCTATGTCCCCCAGGTATACCGGAACGTACCCTGGTGGCTATTTGATATGGTTAGTTTATCGGTTTAGGTTGTTAGGTGTTTGGGTTGGGTTTTAGGGCAAGTATGGTCCCGTACAAGGGTGCTGCGACCCCTAGTACGTTCTAGTTAGTGCTGACGTATTGCGAGGTTCCGGTTCGTCATATTAGATAGTACCAGGGTACGTTCCGGTATACCCCACCGTACCCAGGGTACGTTCCCGCAGTATCCGGGGGGGGGGGGACACACAGACCCGCTCAGCAGTAATATGGAGTAAATGACAAAAAGCTATTGTTATATAACAGCATGTACGAATGGGTTGGACTTTTCTTTTGAAAACTCTTGATAAACATATGTTTTTCGTGTTATTCTCTTGGTGCAAATATGTAGAGATTCGTGGCGTATCCAACTGTTAAGCTCCCACGTACAGCAGCTATCCATTGTGAGATCGTACGCCGATAAAAGAAATTCCATATTATAGTATTTAGATAGGACAGTGCAGGCGAGTGGGGTCTGTGTCCACTGGATATGAGTTCTTAGTGATAGTGCTTGGCGGGTCTGTGTGCAACCATCCAGTATTTTAAATTATATAAATTTTGTATGTTGTAATCTCTATAAAGATGCATATCTTGGTTTATCTTTTATATTTAACAATTTTCATTCTCAATTCCTTATCCT